ATCCACATGGCCGTTAATTTCGGTTTTCTAGATCGGAATGTCTTCGAACACCATCCTTAAACAAAACGTCGTCCCCAGCAGAATACAGTAACCGAAAGTAATGACCATGCTGATCTCTGTGTTCGATACTAAAGTAATTATCCATTACAAAAAATGTTCGTTCAAAATAGACAGTAAATTAAGTATTTTACGTTCAATTTTTGGAAATTTTATGATTGTGCCTTCGTGAAAGAAGAGCGGAATTTGGTTGGATAGTTGGTTCTTGAGTCATAGCAGTGAAATTTCCTACACAGCATTTCTAGTGAAACGATTTTTGTCAAAAAATATCAGTGTATGAACATCCACAACACTCGCCTAATTTGGATGCCTGTGCCTTTTTCATATCCCCGAAATTGAAAAGTTCACTGAATGCGTTTTAATTTGAATCACTGGAAGAGGGATATTCAGAATAGTATAACAAACATACTGAACTTCCGGAAAATTATTTCCTTTATTGTTTCTAAGCACGATAGAGACGCTGTTTGCGTATATGAAGTCGGAAGGAGAATTCTTTGAAGGTGACCACACCTGGTAAATATTAGCGACACTATTTTTATATAGAATCATCCGGTTATATAAGTGTCATGCTTCGTATATGCGTTTTTCCTTGTGTTGCCCCAGTTCGGTAATTGAGAAGAACAACAACAATAGGAACAAAAAGAAGAACAGCAACAAGAGGAACAAAAAGAAAAACAAGAACAAGAAGTGTACTAATTCAGTACATATTCCATTCTTCCTCTGCTGAAAATTTTGTAACAAGATCTTGGAGAAAACCGTTTATTTTTGTATAAGTGTGCACAAAGGGGTTGGTTCAAAAAAATGAACCAGGGGATGAGGGTGCTTTGTTTGTGAATGTGACCACCTCCGGTGTCGTCTTACCCTACCCCCTTTTATTCTCCCCGCAGCCCTTGTCTGCAAATGGGGTGAAAACTGTTCTTGAATTTGACATAAAGTAGCAAAGAGGGTAAGGATGTCAGCAAGGAGAGAGAATTGCGTAATTGTTACCGCATTAAAATGAACTGTCGTTTTGAAAATATAGAAGTATAAAGTGTGACTGCAGTAGTAGCGAAATGAACTTCACTTCTCGGTCAAGAATTAAGGAATTACAGCAGTGAGAATGAGAATAATATAATTACATAAAGCTGATACGCCCCAAGACAATGGCTTGGACGCTTCAGATTTAGTATATGATAGGTACAAATGCATGACCCTTAGAAGTAACCCAACTGAGCAGGTGTCTTGCTTCCTCGCCTGTAGGCGGAAACAGATCCAGTTTCCGAAACGTCCTCTGTTACCTAGAATTCCAGACGATGGAAAAAGTCCCCAAACCCAGTAATTCTGTGTGTCATCCACCATCGTCAGAACCCTTTAGAATCTACTGTCTATGTATGTCGTTCACTTCGGTTGAGAGACTAAATTTCACAATGATACAGAACAGCAGGTAAAATTACAGTTCTCTGTATTTTAATCTTTAGAGCTTCAGACAGAAAACGAGAAGATTAAAGATCCTGAATTGAATGGTGGGAACATCCCCTAGATTTAAGAGTTATATCTTCTGGAATATAACTCCGTATAGTCCATTGAAAGTTGAGCGACGTTTCGGAGAAACAATGAAGATGAAGATCACATGTTATTCCGAAATGTCTGTTGACTTTCAGCGGAATGTACTGCATCATATCCCAGAAGAGAGAAATCTCCATAAACACCGCTGTGAGAACCACAAATCCTTCATTCACGGATCCCTTTTATCTTCGTGTATTTTATATGTTACTGTTTTCTCCACGTACTTGCACTTTGTCGAAGGTTCCGAAGCAGAATTGGCTGTCTCCATATTGTGATGATGTCTTACATTCTGATGACGTGACATGAATATACGTGTACTTCGATTTCCCTACGTTTACTTCTAGAACATATGTAACATATGCAGAGACAATATCGTCTTCGACCTTATGTGGGATAAAAGGACGTTACATTGTGAAGAAAGCGGATGTGACAACAAAAGGACGACCTACAAGTGGCCATATTTTGCAATATTAGATCTATAGAACGGGCGATATGAAACATTTTGCAGTGCCCTATGGAATTTTTGTTTCGTGGTGGGTTTTTCGCTCGTCCCGCCATTATTTTCTCTTTCCTTTGTTACATAATGGTAGCAAGTCGCCCATTTTTCCTGCTTCAAATATCTTCTTATATCATTCGATTTAGTATAATACAAAATGAAAATGGCTGTTGTAGAAACAGTTGATTATTTAAGATTAAAATTGCGTTTCTGCGTTTCAAAAAGCCAGTGTCAAGTGCTAGTTGGTTTTTCGTATGTTTGGAACACAGAAAAGTAAGTAGATAATTGAGAGAGACTGGAAACCATTAGCGTGTAGAATAAAAATTAGACAAATAGAATAAAGAAGATCGTGCACTAAAACCCTAAAAGCATAGCACTTCACCAAATATACGAACATGATGTGATTTTTGAAAGGCATGTTTCCGAAATTAATGAATGAGGGTAGACTGGTAAGAGGAGATTGAACTCGGGTAATGCTTGCTACCATTCAGTCCAGAACCTTTCGTTTTCTCATCTGCTGTCCAAAAACATAAATATTAGAATATACAAAACTATAATTTTGCCNACCAAGGAGTAGGTGGGTGGACAATATTAGAATGGATCTCAGAGAGATAGGATGGTATGGATTGGATTGATCTGACTCAGGATAGAGAGCAGTGGAGGGCTCTTGTGAACACGGTAATGAACTTTCGGGTTCTATAAAATGCTTGGAAATTCTTGAGTAGCTGCAGAATTGGCGAGTTCTCAAGAAGGGCCGAGCTTCATGAGTAGTTCTGTAAGTAAGTAAGTAAGTAAGTAAGTAAGTAAGTAACATTGGTTATGACACCCTTCATATTTTTCTTTTTTCTTCCAGGTGAATGTCTGGACTGCTTCTCTTCCAATGTTGAAAAGCCATTCCAAGGACACGTGAGTAATCACAATAAGGTTTCATCTTACTACAGTACTAACATTTCTCATGATTTTATGAATTCTTGAGGACCATATTATCAGGCTCCAAGTGTGTTTCTATCTTAAGTTACTCTCAAAACTCATTACACTGAGGAAACAGAAAGATGCTTCACAGCTCAACCCCTGCACAATCTCACTTCAGCTGTTGTACTCCACCCCCCTCCCCTGCACACTTCCCATATTCGCTTCAAGTCCTCTAGTCATTTCATTCATTCAAATGTAGACAGTGATAACCATACCAATAAATATACTGGGCTGCTTGATGTAAGACAAAGGGGCTCAGGTGAAACACAAGAGAAGGGACAGTAGAGGACTCATATAAAACTGACCTGTGTTTTGTCGCCCATTTGCTCCACCATCTCGAAGGAGGTGTGCAGTGAAGAGAGCCAGAATTACTGAAGAATCTGTCACATCATACCGATTTCTGTGATTTGCTAACCTCACTGATGATAAGGAGAAACGTTCAGACTGGGTTGTCTGATTAGATTGGTTAAGCATGCCATATGGACCAACTCCTTGTATTTCCTATGCATTTTTTTTATTATTGCTAATGAGGTGGGACTAAGTCCCTTGTACTGTGGCCACTTCTGGCCTATTGTACCAGCCCCAGATGACAGGTGAGGGTGATTGTGGAGCAATTGGTGGAATGAAGATTGGCAGGGGAAACCGAAATACTCGGAGAAAACCTGCCCCAGCGCCACTTTGTCCACCATAAATCCCACTTGACCAGACCCGGGATCGAACCCGGCCGCCCCGCTGGGAAGCCAGTGACTAACAACTTGAGCTATGGAGCGACCTATACCTGCTGTTACTTTCAATTCCCAAACTCCCAGCTTTAGCCCAGCCTACCCTGTGATCCTCTTCATAGGCATCTTGGGCTAATTTTGATTTGTTCTAGAAGACCCTCTTTGAGGCTATGCCTCTGTTCATGGAGCTGCATGCCTAGAGGTCTGCCTATTTCACCAATGTAGCTTCTGCCACATTCACAGGGAATGCTATAGACTCACTATACTATCTACTGCAGATCTCTTTCTGACCTGGCTGTCATGATTAAACTCCTAAGAATGTGTTTAGTTTTGAAGATCGTCCTAAAGTTATATAAATTTTCTGTATGTTTGAACTTCTTTCAAACACCCTTCATGTATGGGATATACACAGAGCCCAGAGGCTTCTGCTCTTTATTTAGGCGACTGCTACCCCTGGAATTAATAACCGAGCCTACAAAACACTGGGGATTACCATTGAGCTGAAGATCATATATCAGGCTACTAATTACATTAAACAGATCTTGTCATTCTTGGCATATGGTGGAAGTTCTGTTGCGAAGATTCTGAATTAAATCTCTGTTCACATGCAGCAGATGAAGAGAATATATGCAAAATTGTATACAGGTGGGTGGGTGGGTGGAGCATGTCAGTACAGATTTTCTTATAAATTTAAGGTTCAGATCCAGTTACTGTTTTTGTAGGTGCTGCCACTTGCTAACAAACACAGATCAGCCATAACCATAATGAGGCAGCAGCAGTCGGTTGGATATTGAACATACTGTACTTTGTGAAATGTTCATTTTTGTTGCTTGACATACCACAATAACTTTATAATATACACTTTTCTTCTCTCACATGATATATAGTTTATATTATAACACAATTAAAATGGTAACACATTTTGTAATTAATTACAAGATTATCTGGTGATATCCAGTATTTGTAAATTTTTCCCAGTTGGATGAGAATTCCAGATGTTTGGGTACTGGCTAACAGGGAATTTACTGCGCATGAAATAAGATTAATATGAAAAAGGCACCAGTTTGTGAAACAGAATTCACTTCTTTGGAAGCTACTGTATGTTAACTTCTCTAACAGAATATATTTTTACATGGAAAACGTATATTTATAACAGAATAACTCAAATTCACACAATTAATATAAATTGCAAGAAATGAAAGATGATGTTGATATTGTTTTGCAATTTACTGATCAGTTGATGTCACTACAGATGATATGTCACTCTTTCACACAGGGTCATTTATACTGCTCTGGAAGAATACTCATTTTTCTTCTTCCCTCTCAGCATAAACCTAGACACACTTCTGTTATTACACACTTCCCTCCAGCATAAACCCAGACACACTTCTGTTATCGCACACTTCCCTCCCAGCATAAACCCAGACACACTTCTGTTATTACACACTTCCCTCCCAGCATAAACCTAGACACACTTCTGTTATTACTCAGTTCTCTTAGATGGCTTAACTTTTTCTAGATGTGTTTCTTTCCCAGGTTATAAAATGGATGTTATAGGCACATCTCAGAATAGACATAGTGAAGTACCATCTTCATTCTGTTCTTCTTTATGGTATGCATAACATATGGACATTCATAAGATTTTATGTTTGTTTCTATTACTGAAGCGATGGACGAAAACTAGATATTGTCCATGATGGACAGTCAAAAGAACCACTAATTTATAATGGTATCCCCATCTCGTACATCCCATAGATAATGAACAAAGTCAGTAAATTCTTGATTACAATGCCAGAGTTTAATTTTAGAGTGGATGAATGACCAAAATCGTTTGTTGAATACATTTTTGTTGACCATGAGAGTTGCAACTCTATGCAAGAGCACATGTTGTATGCCCAGTCAGGTCACCCAAGTTCGTGCAGGAACATCATCATGAAGGGCATGAATACATGAATTCTCAGAATTTACTACTAGACTTGCGATAAAAGTTACTTTGAAACTCCAAATTCCTTTTCACTCGAGGTTAAGAAGACTCCAGAATCATTAATCTTTTAATTTATACTTCTGTTTTTTTTCTTTGACTTCTAATAACCTCAAGGGGTTTTAGAAGGTTTCAAAAAGTATTTACTTGCTGGATTTTATCCTTCACATGTTACAGTTTGGAAGATTTGTCATATTTGTAAAAGCCTTCTCCAGACTTTACACCCAGCTTTCCTTCTGCCACCATCGTCTCCAAAATTTCACTTGGTCTGAAAGTGTGGCTATTTGGGAACTTTCTATGCCAACCTAAAAAAAATAACATTATAATGATCACCCATTTGTTATGTTCTACACACACAAGCAATAATTTATTGCCCTTATGTTCCTCATTTAAGCAACTTAATATGTCAACATTCATGTCATTATACAAACAACAGCCCTTTGCAATCACAGATACACAATTTATTAGACTTTCTCTAAATTGATCGAACATAAAACAATGATTTGATGGACTGCAGGTGGAGAAATTTATATCAAAGCTGTAAATATTTAACTCTGTTGCAGCAAAATACAATTTACCCTCTATCGGAAGCTATTAATTTTGCTGGGGTTTGATGTTAATAATTTATGAGCATAATAAAGATATATAAGAATAACAAAATTAAGCTTAATAACAGTTTGCTAAGTACAAAATTCAGAATTAAGAAATATTTATCTGAAATTTGTAGCCACTAGGACATACAGTTGATAGTATAGTCTGGTAAGCCTCTGAATCCTTATATAATACCTCTGTAAATCTAATAAGAAAGGGTAAACTAAAGTTGTCTCTGTGCCTAAGCACAATGTTCTGAAAGCATATAGGGGGTGAAGAGGTAAAGCTCTACACATTCTTGTTCTTAACATTAGATGGAGGTGAGAGGACAGATTCATACTTCTGCTGTTTTATCCCTAGGAAAAGGTGAAGGTACAGTTGTCCCTGTGCTTAACTAACTAAGCACTATGCCATGAAGGCATAAGGGGAGTGGGTGTATAAATCCACATTTTCATGACCTCGGCACTAGCTGGAGGTGAGTGGTCAGCTTCACGCACCAGTCGCTTTACCCCCGAGGAAAAAGCCCCCAGTACCCATTGGATAGGAGGTTGGATGGACCCCACAGCCAGTCTTGACAACGTGGGGAAGAGAAAATTCTTGACCCTACAGGGACTCAAACTCTGACCCTTTGGTTGTCTAGCCCATAGCCAGTTGCTATACTGACTTTGCTATTCCGGTTCCTTATCCCTAGGAAAAGAGCTAAAAAAATGAATTTACCATCTGCTACAATCTTGTGTGTGTCAAGACCAATATAATCCATCAACTCAAATGGACCCATTGGATAACCAGCTCCAAGTTTCATAGCAGTGTCTATATCCTGCGCAGTTGCAACACCTGTCATAAACAAATGTCACACAATTAAACCCAGTTACTGTATATACTATTGCATGTTAAATCATATTTTCAGGAATATTATTTTTGTCTATAGTCTAAAAGAAAATAAACTAATCTGGCCAATTGACTTCACATTTTTTGTAAGAAGTTCACACAATCTGAACTGCAATAGAATAAAGAAACACGAATTTAATATAGTATTTACCTGCATGTATTATTTCTCTCTTTGCATTATTTGCCCCAAAATTGAAGAGAAAATACTTCACATCTCTCCGAACAGTTTTACCATATAAGATTCAAGTTTTTCATGGCAGTGAAGATCCTACTGTGGACTTTAGATTGTGACACAATCTTGTAAACTGGCAGATGTGGCACTGAAAGGAAGCTAATGCTGATGGTGTCAGTATGTTCTTGCAAAAAATGTTCATGCCCCATCTACCAGAATAAAACTGGGACATAATCCAGAAATACAGCTTTCACATCTTCGTTTTATTCCTGTTTTGCATCATTATTCAGAGATGAAAGAATCAGTACTTTTGATCCTTCCTCTCACCTCAAACAGTAATTTTTATGACTGCATAATCAATCAGAATTTCTTATTATCTCAACAACACAAAATATTATTATATTTTAACTACTACTGTATTGAAACTAATTCCTTGTTATTTCTGTAAATCTGAACATTTACCGTCACTTCTGAAGCTGATTATTTTATATGCAACAAATTCCTTACATACAAGAACTTAAACCTCCTTCTCAACTATTGAACTGGGAGAGGAGAGTGAGAGAAGGAAACTATAATAAAATATATTTCACTGATTCTGAAATTTAAATAACCAGTCTTGCTTCGTATCCATAATGTGTATATATTAACCATCTTTTAGTGCATACAATTTCACTTGTCACTTCTCACTACATGTTTCGGCATCATTCTGCCATCCTCAGGTGTATTAATCACGTTAAACCATTGCACTGCCTGCCATCAAGTGTCCATTTATAAAATGATATAAAATGTGTGTAATGGTTTAACATGATTAATACACCTGAGGATGGCAGAATGATGCCAAAACATGTAGTGAGAAGTGACAAGTGAAATTGTATGCATTAAAAGATGGTTAATATATACACATTATGGATACGAATCAGTGCAACAGGACGCTAAAATACAAGAGTCTTGCTTCATTACACTGAGTCATTCCCATAAAGGAAGTTCACTGTGCAAACAAAACAATATTTTCCTTCCCATCATTTGTGCATCCTGACTAGAATAATGCAAAAGAGAGATAATACTTGTATTAAATGATATTACTAAATTCAAACAGGCTCTAAAAGAGTTTCTTCTTGCTGGTTCACTTTATTCTTTAAATGAATATTATGAATGGAACACAAGGGGTGATCTTGGTTCTTATAAATAGTATCTAAAATTAACCTTAACAAGTCCTATTAACTAAAAATATATTAATAATCATCTACTTTAGATCTGCATCCATACCAACTATAACTTTTATTTATTTTGACATAGAATCTCTTGTTATTTTATGAATTTATTTATTTATTTATGAATGTATTTTTTACCATAATAGTTATTTAATACACTTCTGAGAGAAGTTATTTATTCCATTTATTGTTGATGCATGTTAGATGTTTCTATAGTGTTTCTTTTGATGTGTGAGTGATGTAACAAAATATTTGATATTGTATTGTTTATTGATGATATCCTTTCATATGCATTGTCTTTATAAACTGGATGAATTTTATAAGATAAATGGTTAACATGTTTTTGTCTAGTGTTGTTATAGTCACATTTTATTATGTTTAGTGACTGTGTTGTCTATGTTTTATATTATGTTATTTTGACTTGTTCCAGTGATTGGTTGGAACATTTGTTTTGATTTTTGACACATTCTATATCCAATGGTGTCTGAACTTGTTTCTTGCCCTGTAATTGGATCTACTTGAATATAAGAATAAATTAAATTAAATAAATTGCATAAATGGTTGAGTAAGTGCACTCACCCCTCTCCAACATTTTAAGGGCTTCATTTAAGTATGGACCTAACAGCCTGTTGACCACAAAGCCAGGGGTGTCCTTGCATGTTATCGTTGTCTTCCCAATAGTGTTACCCCAAGCCATCATCTTCCCATATGTTTCATCAGACGTTTCTGGAGTACGGATTACCTTGCCAAAAGAGTGTGTCATTGTCATATTTAGTCATATTGCTGAGTATGTCAGAAACCGTAAATATTTTCTAAATGTGTGACAATTTTACAAGCTTACATAATGTTCAATACAAATTAACAATTGAGACAGACTTGAATCTTAAATTAGCATGCTGCAGAGAAATGTCCAGTGAAACTGTACACAGATACCTATATCTTTTACTAGGCAATAGTAAAAATTAAATTTACCCATACTTATTAAAAATGTCTGAAAGAATTCTTCACTGTCTTCAACAAGAGTGAAAAGAAATACTTCGTTCAGTGAATACAGAATTTCAAAATATTTTGGTGTGATTTTGTTTAGCAGTAAGTAAGTCAACTTTACACAATTAGAAAATTTGCTTGAACTCGTGTAAAAAAATTACTCCTATGTGTCAAATATTGCATAAACCATCATCATCATCATCATCATCATCATGTTCAAGGAGATAAGAAACTTGTTGAGCCATTCTGACCTCATTCATCTAACAGTCTCATCAAAGGTCTTCCTTGTTGTCTTGGCCCATGTGGTTTGTAATTTTTGTAATAGCAAACTATTAAAAAATTCCCAAAGGAAGTCTTTATATTCTGTTGACATGCTGAATGAGCTGATTTTACATTTCAAAATTTTGTCCAATTTGGATTCTGCTTTTAGTTCTTTTAGTGTAAGTCTTCTTTTCTTTTACAGTCCATTCAAGTTTATTTTGCTGCTATCTCACAAATTTAATTCCAGAATATGTAATTCTTTCTAGCGTAACCTTCTGCTTCTATTATGTGAATCTCATTCCAATATAAAATAATTAGTAAAGTTAGGCTACTATAAATGTTTTAGTACATTTTCAGACTTCTGATTGCTTAAAGGTTTTACTGATGAGGCCTTTTACTCTGAAAAGTTAGAAACTTTAACTTCTTTATCCTTTTCTCCATCTTGTGTGACAGTCAACATTTGAATATATTAATTTGTTGTACGAGGGGGGACCCAAAAATAACCGGAAACGACCTGTTGTGCGTGCATGCTTTGTAGTTATGAGTTGTGCTGCTAGGTGGTGTTAGCTGGGGGTCTCCCGCGACTGTTAGTGAGCTGGCGTCAGTCTGAGTTAAGTGGTTTGTCTGTGGTGCTCTGTTGTGTGCGTTCCTGTTTCAACCCTTTGGCGATTAGTGAGATGGCCGACCAGAAGGAACAAAGAGTGTGCGTGAAATTGATGAAGATCGTCGAAAGACCATTGACCAACTTTCTGAGGAAACGAACATCTCATGGAGCACGGTCCAGCGAATTTTAACTGAAGGTTTGCACATGAGACGGGTGTCTGCAAAATTTGTTCCTCGCTTGCTCGGAGATGACCAAAGAGAAAACCGCGTGAATGTTTGCCGCGACTTGAAGAGTGAAGTGCAGTTTTCCCTAACAGAAAGCAAAATTTCACGCACACTCTTTGTTCCTTCTGGTCGGCCATCTCACTAATCGCCAAAGGGTTGAAACAGGAACGCACACAACAGAGCACCACAGACAAACCACTTAACTCAGACTGACGCCAGCTCACTAACAGTCGCGGGAGACCCCCAGCTAACACCACCTAGCAGCACAACTCGTAACTACAAAGCACGCGCGCGCAACAGGTCGTTTCCGGTTATTTTTGGGTCCCCCTTCATATGCTTTAACAGGGCTCTGAATCACAGTGGATACTTCAGATCCTTAAATTCAGAAATTTGTTGCTTTTGAAAGAGGTAAGGGCCATGGGAAGCTGAGCAGAAAATTCTGCACAAAGTCCAGCTGATCTTGGGCCTNGAAACGAACATCTCATGGAGCACGGTCCAGCGAATTTTAACTGAAGGTTTGCACATGAGACGGGTGTCCGCAAAATTTGTTCCTCGCTTGCTCGGAGATGACCAAAAAGAAAACCGCGTGAATGTTTGCCGCGACTTGAAGAGTGAAGTGCAGTTTTCCCTAACGGAAAGCAAAATTTCACAGATTGTCATTTTTCTGCAGTCTTTGGTGTAGGAGGCCAGCAGCTTAATGCTATATCATCTGATTCCTTAACTTAATAATCAGAATTATGTTGGATCTTTCATTTAAAGTCTGGCTTAATCATTAATGGTAATGTTTAATCTCTTGGCTATGAGACAGTCAGGTATATTCAGTTCTGTTTTGTACAGTCATACATTATGATGTGCCTAAACCAAATGAAACAAAATATTTTGCTCTTGTCCAGATTTAAAGCACTTACCTATATATAAAACGGTTTTAGCCCACATTTCTGCTGAAACTGACTCTAAATCACTTTATTCTCTTTTAAATAGATATTCTAAAATTAGTCATTTTATTCACAGTGTTTTCATTAATAAGCCATTAAAAACTATTTATATACAGTATATTAGTTCAGTACATATATAATTAAGACATTAAAAACTATTTATATACAGTATATTAGTTCAGTACATATATAATTTTCATTTTCCATGTCACTAAAGGTTTTGGTGCATGACCTTTGTCTTAGGTGATATTGCATTTCCTTTCCTATGGACTATTGGTTCTATATTTAGTGTTATAATCAGATTCATAGAAGAAAATTAATATCATATATACCTACATAATTGTGCATCATATTTGTACAGTATTTTACATTAAGATAAAAGTGAGAAAGTAGTGTGTTTCCCATTATAATATGAAAATGGTCACGTGATAATGAAATTTTAAAATATTTACTGGCCTTTCATCCCCATATAAACTTGCATTGGTATGCAGGAATAGCAGTTATTTTATTTTCTCATAGCTTAACAATGTCCTCCCAATCTGTATCTTGAGCATGAACCTTTTTTCATTTTCATCCTCCTTCCAGTAATTAACAGAGGGATAGAGATAAATACTGAAGGCTGCAGTGAGAACAGTTAATGAGAACATGTAATAATGAAGATAAGATTGAGAATGATGATTAAAATTCATGAATGTTGTTTCAAGACAAAATACATTCAATTCAGTAGTGACTCACTTCATTACAAAGGCAGGTAATCGGTTCATTGTGATGCTGAGAGGGTAATGGTGTGAGATTGCAAAAACAGATGTCATGACATAGTAAGGGAGAGGCTTCTATATGACAGCAAAATATCTTATTTCCTACTCCTCATTCCGATGGGACAGTTTATGCAATCCAAGCAATTACATGAGTAAATTCTGTTCATTGTAAAAATCACAGTTACTTATGCATAGATTACAGATTTGCAACAGTTTAGTTATAATGAAAATATCTGATTAAGAATTACACACAGTTAATAAAAGTAGATATTAAGATGTCTTTCTTCCCCTCATATCGTACACAGACACAGAAAATGAAAATTATGTGTATGTTAGATTAGATACCAGTAATGTTTTAAGAAAGTTCACATAGTTTAACTTTACCTCTAGTAGTTTCATTACAGGCACAGGATTGAAGAAATGCAAACCACCAAATCTGTCTTTCCTTTTTGTTACAGAAGCAATCTCTTGGATAGACAATGCTGAAGTGTTTGAAGCAAAAATTGCATGTTCAGGTGCAATCTGATAAAAATATATGAAATCAAGAAATTAAGTTTGGAGCATATACCGTTCTTTCATTTGAAGAAACCTTCATTCCAACTTTCTTACATGCATGGCTTTGATTTAAGACTAGGCTGGGTCAAACGTTGAGCATTTTCCAGCGTTTTCTTCAGTGGTGATAATTTTGGGAAGAGCAAGATGGCAATTGAAAGTTTCACCAAAGGTTGGAAAACCTTCAACACTTGACATAGCCTAGTCCCAAAAGCTGAAGCTAGATATTATGCTGCAACCATGAGTACCTAAGGACTAGAATTTTCTTACATAATCTTCATATTTCCAGGAAAACTTGCACTATATCACTATCACTATTAAATATAAAATGTGATACGTTTTCAGTAATAAAGCTGGCTGCAGGGTCTACAGGGGTTTAAATTGTAGGAGAAGCCAGAATTTTTCTCTTCCATACTCAGAACAGCTCTGGCACCAGCCCGGCTTCCTGTATACTTTTTTCCAAGAATTATTGCAGTCAGATGATAAAGCCTATCATCACCCCCCATCTATGATATATCTGGAATTTAGGACAAACTATACATCTTCTGGGATTCTACTTCCAACATCTGCTCCTATGTCAGGCCAAAATTTCTTTTCTCTTTCCTTACACTGAGTTTGAATGTTATGTTCGTTTCTTCTGTAAGTTTATAGTGAAAGAGTTTACTCATCTGGGTTAAATTTTTTACTACTAACATATTGTTTTTATTTAGATTGCCACTAAACACAATAAAAAGTAAAGTAAAGCTATCCCTGTAAGAGGCCGTGAAGGCCCATACGGTTGTGAGACATTGACGGTCCCACAGTATCTAGACAATCGACTCAAAGATGGTGGTAAGGTTGTCAGTCTTACGCCAAGAAAATTATTTAATTAATTCCTGGTACTCATTTCTGTTAGAGGCTGAGTCGACCCCAGGGCCATAGTGCAACTGGAAGGATTAGGTTAATAGAAAAAAATCCAATGACCTAATCGGGATTTGAACCCGCGACCTTCCGGCTTGTAGCATAGCCCCTCAATCAACTACGCTACTGCATGCCCCCCACTAAACATAATAGTGTCCCTAATATCTTCAGAAAACTGTCTCCATTGTTTTTGTATGTTAACGGTAAAACTCTGATGAAAGTATAAAATGTATTAGGAATCCAACTGCTGAAGTCGCCAACATTTCAAGAGCTTCTTTTGGCAGAGATGGGATATGTCTCTGCAATAAATTTCAAACGTAACATGTATTTCCATTTTTTCACATAAGAACTAGTCTGCCGCCACAAGATAGTACTAAGCTGGAGACACCTGTTTCAGAACAGGTTTGCAGGATGACTGTGCATTTTACATGAAATTTGTACTGCAACTGGATGACATACACAATCCAGCTACACACTGCAACTTTGTTGCTATTATGCCAATTCCATAGTATTTTCTATTCATTGGATAGGCCATGGTAGGAAGGTCTAAAATGCATACAACTTATTCTCCATGGATACATACATACATACAATTTTATGCTGCTGGTTTTCAGGGGCTTGTAAAACGATGGGACAAGTGCCTTAATGTACAGAGAGATTACGTTGAGAAATAAAAGCATTTTTCAAATCAGTACTCTTATTTGTTTAAGTTCTACATCCATTTGTAACTTACTTACTGACTTACCCTCGTAATTTAAATATAACCGTAGTATTCTCACAACAAAACTGTTAACTGCAACTGCCATGTATTCCCATACATGAGCTACATCTACTGTATATTATAAACTAAATAAGTTGAAAGTATTAATTCTTAGGTCAGGCACCATCTGCATAACTGTTTTCCCACATAGAAGTACAAAGAATAATTTTATTGCAACTTCTCAATGCAGCATTTGTTTTAGCATAATAATGAATTATTAAATATTAGTGTAATAAGGCTTGCTGAAATTTCAAAAGGAAATCATTGCAGTTATCAACATCAGTACTGGCCATGCTACTTATTTCACTGTAATCCACCCATACATAGTAACTCTAGTGAGACCTTTCAGATCATAATTTTATTGAAAATGCAC